GGCCAGCTGGCTGGACGTGCTGGAGTGGAACACAATGCAAATGTAAGTGCACAGAGAGGCCTTGTTTTCCAGACACAAAGACACAGGTTAGGGAATCCACCCTTGGCACTGAGCAAACTGTTCAGCCTCAGTGCTGCTTGCCACAGAAGCACAGAGCAGCTTCCCAAGGAGCCTGGGGCACAGCTTTCCACACAGCAATTTCTCTCTGCCTGCTGATGTTTTTTGGCACACCATGTGCCACGCAGGGGCCTGGCAGCAACCTGCGCCCACCTGCTGCTGATGCTCCCACCCCCTTCAGGCCAGAACCAATTTGTCAGGATAACGAAAGATGTCTGAGAGGGTGCTTAAGGAGGAAATTGCAGACATTTTTGTATAAAGTTAAGGACTACACAGTGTCCCTGCTTCCCAACACACGTCCTTGGTTGACTTTGGGCATGTGTGTGTCTTGATTCCCTTTGGTCATGTGTCTGAGACAGGCATGTTGGTGTTCAGTGGAGACAAGGTGGCAATGCCTCTGGGTGTAGGAAGGTTTGCATGATTTTAAGTTCCCAGCAAAGTTTTCCGGTGAAACCTTTGGTGCCTGTGGACTTGGAGAGCTTGCAGATATCACATACTTGAATTTAAATATTCCAATGCCACTGAAGTTAACTGCAACACAGTTATTTCCACGTTTGTATCTTGACCTCTGTGTGAACTGCTTCATGGTGCTGAAGGTCCTGATGAATCATGGTGTCTTCAACAACTGTTAACTTTCTTTTTTTCCCCTAAGAAAACTGAAAACAGATTTCCAAGAAAGTCATACTGTGCTCCAAAATAGGATTTTATAAAGGAAGCTTTTTAAAACATCAGCTGCAGAGGGACCAAGGCATCCTGACTAGTAAAGACCTGGCAGTAATATGTCTTTTATTACCAAAACTTTGCAAAATACCTAATTCTGGAAGTTACAGACTATCCATGTTAATTACATGATCTTCTATGATATTTAGCAGACTTAGCAAAGACCAGGAAATGCAGATTACAATATTCCCATTCAAAAATATTTGCCATATTACTGCTTGTTTCCCCACTGGAAAAAAAAAAAATAGTCAGGTTTTGAATCCCTGTTCTAGCAATAAGTATGCATAGTATGCATATACAATTACATGGTACATTGTCCTCTCTGGAGAAGAGCTTTAAGCATGGCAAGGTGACAGCAGAACCCTTAGTGTCACTCAGCTTTCAGTGGCTGTGCAGGAAGAAGCTACAAAAAGGAACAAGGTCATGGATATAATGCTGCTATATTTGTGAAAATGCTGTACTGGCTAATGCTCAGGTCTGACTCTAAGCATTTCTCTGAAAGGAGTTTTGATCTGGATCTGATCTGACAAGGCTCAGGAGAGCATTTGTAGGTCGAACTACTCCCTCTCTAGGTTACCAGGCTGATATTTGAATCGCTCAGGTGCTCTGGCAGAGATAAGCATAATCTGCAATGACATCTAGGCTACACCAGAAGATAATGCTGCTTCTGGTGTATTACTCAAAATGTGTGCCAGCAGACTGGCTTCAGCTGCTTAAATACCCACTGCAGTGCATTTGTGGCTAAAGCTGCACTCAGAGTAGCAGAACTAAACTGAACCACCACCCTCAGGAAAACTCTATTAGAATAATTTCACATTAGGCAGTTTATGTAACTAGATGTTAAAAACACTGCTTTCCAGAAACACTGTCAAGCACTTATCCTCAAATAACCCATTCAACTTATTTTTAAACCAGAGGTACCTGGAAATACCAACCATACAGAATCCTGGAAATCATGCACTGAAGCTCTTCAACTTGCTCTTGATTTTCTTTGAGAATGACATTTCAGATCAAAATGCTGAAGATATCTTGCATTGAAAAGCAAATCATTAGGAGATCTAAACTGATATGGGTTTTGTGGCTGAGAGAAAAGGCAGATCACATGAAGTTTGCAAAATTATTGACTTTGCCAGTTTCCAAAAGAAACGCATTGTGCTTTTTTTAAGTCCTTGAAAGCATGATTCCTATCATGTTATCAGACAAAGGATTTTCAATTAATGCTGAACATTACTTCTGCTGGAGACTGTGGAACAAACTTTTAGGACTGTTTTGCATACTAGGTGGAGATGATACAAAGATATCATTAAGGGTTAGTGTTTTAGTACAGACGCATAAGGCCAGTCCTGTGACAATGGTGCGGTGTCACCTTAGCAAAGGCTCTGCAACTCCTTAAACCTGCCTAATATTTTGTGCTGCCAGACTAGAGGACAATCTCAGCCTATTTATAAAAGTAATTTAAAATAAAACCAGTGGCAATATAATAAGTCTTCAGTGTGTAAGAACTTCCTCCTTCTCTTCCTCTTGTTCTTTCCTTCAAGTGTTTTTTTGTGGTAAAGATTTACACAGGAATGAATGGCGAAAGTGACATTGCTGTCATCAAGTGAAATCCCTCAGAGCAGAAAGAATACCTCCAGCAAAGCTTTGGAAGGAACAGGAGAAACAAGCAAAACACACATGCATTTTCAAAATTAATTCCAACAAGAGAGGCACTTAAAATATAGTGTTGCATAGACTTAAATCCTTGCTTTGCTCATGCTCCTAGCAAAAATAAAATAAAAAAATAAAAAACCCCAAAAAACTATGCTCACAAGAGAAATAGCTACAAAGTCTAAGATGTCACCACCTTCTACAAGAGGTTATGCTGCACCTCAGCACCTTCACAGCTTAGTTAAAACTCCTTTGAAAAGCACTTTTATCTCCAGTCACTGGATTTTGTACGGAAACAGCTGAGATGAGTGAGTGTGAGTGCACACACTCCACAATCTACTCTAACAGTCTCAACTGAAGACGTGCACAGGTGACATCTTAAATTGTATCAGTTAGCTTTGCCTGGGGCTCATCCAACCTCTCTTCAAGTTTCCACCATGCTCTCAGATCTTGTGAAGATGGAGACTGAATTAGCCGAGCTACAGTTCTGCTGATTTCCCAGCATTATCACAGGCAGGTGAAGCTACCGACAGCTCCTGCACTGGTGTCAAAAATCTCTGATTCTTCCTACTTCCCCACATTTTTTACTTTCTGTTTTGGAATGACTGGTGCTCCCGGCTGCCCTGCAAACTTCCTTCAGAGCCATAGCTGGCACAATCACAAACCCATCGCAGAGGAGTGCTGATTGTACTACTGTTTATAGAAATAGGTAATTCCTGCCCCCAGCTTTCTATTATTGTATCAAGTGCTCCAGGAACTACATCTCATATCCAGGCCATTTGTTGTGGAAATTATTTCCTTAACAGATGTGTTGTCCCATGGACGGGAAGAAATGTTAGTATTTTATTTTCTCTGGGGAAAAAATAAATTAGAAAGTCAACAGTGCTTGTCTGTAACCTGAAGTGAAAACCCTACACAGTTCTGAGGCCAGTAGATACTGGATTAGACTTTGCACTGGATGCAAATTCTTAGATATACATCCTTGTTCCTGTTGTTCCTCTCCTGCTTTCAGAATCAGAGAGAGAATGAAACTCAACTGCCCCAGGCAGTACACAAAGCTACAGTCTCCTCTGATTGTTACATTTATTTTAATTCCAATTCTCTTTCTACATGGTGTTCCCAGAAGCCCTGAGCACTTTTATTAGTATTGTTAAAGTAAGAGAGACATAAAGGTGTCTTCCTAGTCCTGTCTCGGCTCAAACTCAGCACTGAGCCCTACGTTTACTGGTCTGGTTTTTACTAAATTTTCAAGGCTGAGCCCTTCAGTGCTAAAAAGCAGTCATGAGCTTGCACAGAGAGCTACTTCCTGGCTGGGATAGGCTGGTACCCTCTGTACCAAAACTGGCATCTCAGACAATCACAAAGCAGTTGGTATCTGTCAGCATACTCAGGCTATTCTGTGAATCCAGACAATCCAGGCTCTTGCAGCAAAACAGAAGCAGAAGAGAATCCAGCTGTAGTTATCTGGCAACTCCCAGTTGTCTGGTCTCACCCCCCTGGCAGAAGGCATCCTAAAGGCATCTCTGTCCCCCGTCTTTCTGCCTGAGGAGCACAGGGGTGCAGGCACTTGCCAGCTCAGGTCTGGAAGCAGAAGAGCTGCACCGGAGTGGCAGAGCCCTGGAGCCAGTAAGCTGTGCTGAGCTCCACTCCAGCTGGCTTGGACCCAGACAGCTCGAGTTTCTCCGTGTATCACTTCCCTGCTCTCCAGATTCTGGGGCCAGCACAAGCAGAGGCAGCCCAGATCTGTTTGCACACAGGATCTAAGTTGTTTTCCTGTTGCACAAAGCAGAGCAAAACAAGTCAAAAGGGGTAGCAGCTGGAAATACACAGCTTTGTGGAGATTCCATAACAATGCACACATTTGCTGGATGTGTGAATGAGAAGACACTTTTCAAACATTTTGCACTTGTAGAAAGCTGCTAAGGGAAATTCACCTATCCTGCAACTTTAAGAGCTGCAGTTGTGGAGTGCAAGCACAGAGCAGGAAGCACTTTGCTTACCAACAGCTGCTTTTCTCATGCAGCAACTCTCTGACCCTGCTGGAGGAGTACACTTCTACCTGATAAAGAGAATTGGCAGTAAGCTAGAAAACAATCAAAAGGGCTTTTTTCTTCCCCTCCCCTGCCACCTACTGCCTGGAGAGATTTAGAGAGAGTAGGACTTCTATGAGGAAAGGAACCACAGCCCGAAGCTGCTGTACTAACTTCTGCTTGACACTGCATGGAAGCATTCAGGGAGCTCCTCACCCACTTCCTCCACAAGTCCAGAGGACAAGAAAACAAAAGCACATTGCCCTGCCACAAATGAATGAGGTATGTTTAACATTGATGCCTTCTTGTGCACAATCTGGTCAATCCAAAGGGCACTCATTCTTCTAGTGAATCACGCTGCCAAATTACTTCTATCTCACTGTTGTGCTTTCTGAACAGTTGCCTAAATATGCTCCTTGCAGGAATTCAGTTTGCTTTCATTTCAGATTGCAAATAAAAAGTGAAACAGAAGCAGTAAGAATAACACAAATTTAAGTATGTGCTTTTATTTTATACTTTCATGGCACATTTTCATTTGTAAACATTAAATTACCAGTCCTCTTCTTCATATGTTGAAAATAACCACCAGACATTTGAGAGAATTACCTGAGATTAAAAAGAAAAAAAAAAGAAACAAAAAAAAGGAAAGAGAGAAAAAGATCTGGCATCTTTTACATTACCCAGATACAGTACCATTTTAGGAAGACTTACAAAAGGGAATGTTTTCCAAAATAGGACGGTTTTCTTTTGACTATAAAGATATAGAAAATACATCAAAATGCCTTGGAATGATCAGCCTTATTAAGAGTATGTGGAAAATCAAACAATTGTTTGATTGATCAAACTGTTTCAAGCAATTCCATTAACACACAGCTGCAACACTGCCTCAGTCCTGCAGCAGCATGATATCCACGTTGTCATGAACGCCCTGTAAAAGCAGCTCTCCTTGGTAAGTGATGATCTTTCGTCGTTTTGCCGCCTTAAGCGTTCCCACCAGGGCTTCAAAGAGGTTGGCACACTTCTCATCAGCAAACAGCACACCAAATTTCACGCTCACTTGTCCATCAGCATCTAAATAAAAGACATAATGTAGATTTCCTTCAAGTTAGGAGATTCCTGGGAAGATAAGGTGGCACAGAGAACACTGAAAGCAAACCCCACTGTGTTTCCTAGTTTATTTGGGATCATATTATGAATGCTGATGATAAACACTAGGCAGAACTCCTGCCTACTCTAACTTTGCCTTTCCTTACAGAGATTTGTATCAAGGACCATATATCTGTTCTGTTTACTTTTATTGATGACTTTCTGAAACCTATGTCAAGCACAGGCTATTGAACATCTTTACAGCACTTGGAGGAAATTACTTTTAAATAATTAAAATCCTAGAATATCTCAAATTGAGGGAGACCCAGAAGGATAAAGTCCAACACCCTGCTCCTCCAACCTAAATCTAAACCATACATTACAATATTTTTTCACAATTTTTCCACTCATTAATTTTTGAGGGTCACATTGAAAAGGCTGCAATGCAAATTTTCACACAAAGCATAAATTTAAAAATATATGTTAAAGTTATGCTATTCCTAAAAAGCAGATGCAGTCATAAAACATGCAAGATGTACATATGCATTTAGGTTTTGAAAAACAAGTGGAACTGAACAAATGGCACCAGAATTGACATATAGGAGCAGGTAGCATACCCACAAACTACACAAATATTTGTAAAGAAATAGGAGTTTTAGCAATGAAAGACAATCTTAAGAGAAAATGGCACCTTCTAAGCAAATTTAAGGAAGTTTGGAACTACACATATAACTCCTGGATTAGTTTTAGGCATACAGACCAATTTCTTCCAAACAGTAAGATCATGAACACAATGGAAATGCATGAATTCTGAAGCAAAGAAGTCACCAAGGAAGGATGTGGAAGGAGAAGTTGCAACTTTCTTCTGTGGTGACTGTACCAAGTATTGAAAGCCTAAAGAAAAGGTAACTCCTGCAGCTGGTTCAGGAGCAGGATTTCAGGCCTCCATCCTCTCTGCTGCAGATGTTTAAATGTTTCACTTCATAAGAGAACTACTTTAAAGGACGGAACACAGGCAGTACCTTACAGTCCAACATGAAGTGCATGCGCAGGTTTTCAGGTTACCTGCTCATCTGAATTTGCCATGCTCTTAGTTTGATGAAACATGACTACATGTGTATGACACGCATGCATGGTGACATCTATGTACATACATGTATAATGTGACCACATCCATACAGAAGTACTACAATACTTACTTTTGGTTCCCAGCCGCCGAATCTCCTCAACTAAGAGGTTAATTTCGTGTTCCACATTCATTGTGGTCTAAAAGGAAAAAAAAATTACAAACTTCTTAGGAATCCTGTAAATCCTTTGCACCATTCTGGCATGTTCTCAGTTCTTTAGGAATGTCAGAACACTTCATAAATCCCAGCAGCTGGGAGATGCATGACTACAGGTTAATGTAGGATTTTAGTTTTGTTACATTCTACACACAAATAAAAAGAGCTAATCTCAAAACATGACAGATGTGAGAAGGTCAAGGAAGAGGAGAGTTGTTTGTTATAAGGAATGAGCTTAAGCTGCCACAGAATCAGAGTAACTCACTAACATCACACGTCTTCAGGGGCGTCGCAACTTTCCATTGATGGCCTCAATCTAAATGGAACATCTGCCTTTAAGTTTCTCTCTGGAATATGTGGTAGATTTGGTTTCTCAAACCACACCACGGCTTTCTACATATGCTAGGAAGATGTTGCTGGTTCACAGACACACATGGTGTCTGAAAGGACAGCAGCTCCTGCATACCTGCTACTGAAAGCAGAACTGATCCAAACTATGCAAATGACCTATGGCAGTCATCATTTTTGCCACCCAAAATGATCCTGAGAATCTACTACGCTGCCAAACATAACCTGGGCACCTCTTTGCCATGAAACGCAGCAATTTGCACCAATGTGTACCAATGCCTTGCAACAGTTTAGCCATATGTGGCACAGCATATGGCAGCACTACAGTCACACACAACATTACTTGGCTACAAAGCGCCCGAGGTTAACAACTGCAGATGCCTGAACGGTGGTTTTTTGTGGAAAGCAGCATCAACACAATGAAACCTATAGATGCTGAACTCCTCAAGCAAAAACTGGCATTGATGTAAGTACAACAAACTGGACATCACAGACAAAGCAAAGCATGAAATGCAGCCTCCATGTGTGCCAACAATGCAGCCTGGAACAAAAGCCACTGAGAGCTTCTGGAGCTGAGCACTTGCTAAAAAGGGCTCAGTGTGCACTGAGACCCACTCTGTTGTTCAAGAAACTGGGATTTCTGCACTAGTATGAAAGTGGAGTTAAAAAATAGACATCTGAATGCATCACAAACTCTTCCTAAGAGAAAAGCTTCCCCTCCTTTCTTTTTTTATTGAGTTTAAATAGTCAAGAGTGACACAGTTCCACTTCCTGACCCCTTATGATTTACCCAAGAGGCAAAAAAACCTTTGCACCAGAGTCTGATTTTTAGATCCAAAATTCACATGCAAAAAAAATGTTTTATTTTTAACATGTAAAAACTGAGCAAGCTAATCATCAGCATGGGTTTGGGGCAAAGGCTCAAGTGAACCACAGCTTCATCCCTAGTGCACGGTACCAGCAGCACTGCGTCGGATGTCAGCTGCAGACCGACAGGTGACATTGAAACTGGAGGTGCTGCCGTGGGACCACGGCTGCAAAGGGCAGGACAGCAAGGCTGCACAGCTGCAAATGCCTCGGGTGAACTCCACAAACTTCCGGATTTTGCTGGATTCCACACTAAACAGAACAAGCCAGCAAGGAAAATATGACCCATCTCTTAGAACGCTTACACTCCCATTATTTGTCAGACTGCCGGTTTTGATATTGGTCATCACAACGGCATAATTGTCTTCTCTTTAAAGACGTTCTTCTCACTTGAAAGGCTCTTTTTTACATTCAGCTCTTTAAATTCACGCTGATTTCTAATTATTTTTATACATGTACATCATCGATATAAACAGCATTATTTAAAATAAAAAAAGGCAAATTCTACATTATTAGGCAAGACTTTTGAGATCAGAGAAGCGTGGCTGAGCAAGGAGTAGGGATGCTCAGTACTTCAAAACTTAAATACTTGCTTTCTACTGTAGATGCTCAACACACCAACTATCAAAGTGTGTTGATAGTTAACAGCCCGCTATTAGACTCTGATTCTCCTGACGCCAATGCACTGCTGCAAGGCAGTATATCGGTGGTATGGATATTAAACTTCTCCTTATTTGGCAGAAGGACGGCGAATCGCTGCGAGCACACACACAGCACACACACACATCTGTCACCCACCGCGCCCCTGTCCCCCGCAGGCAC